TGAAATCAAAATTCCACTATTATTCTTTCATAATTAAATTTATAAAATTGATTTCAAATTTTGTAAATACAAATTTGCAAAATTTCAAATACTAACGTCACAAATCCTTGCAAAAAAATATTATTTCTTATTATTTTATAAATCTAATTGTAATAAATAAAATTCATCTCTGAGATACAATATAAAAACCTAGACGCAACTATAAGAGCTTTTTTTGTGAATAAATATAAAAATCTATTACATGCTGATAGATAGATGTGGCAAATTGAGCCTTGACTCGGAAGACCGGGCCACCAACACACAGACCACAAAGAGTCAATTTAAAGGAAACTTTAAAAAATATAGATGAAAACTATAAGAACAATTTTGTGTTGATAAAAATAAAAACATATTACATGCTGATATAAAATCCTGTTGAGGTGACAAAAAGGGTCCGGCCCAGAGGGCCGCCCACCAAATTCTTTTTATAATTAACTTAAAATTTCATCATTATTCTTTTATAATTAAATTCTTAAATATGATTTCAATCTTTGTAAATATAAATTTACAAAATTCAAAATACTAAGTACACAAATCCTTGCAAAAAAATTATTATTTACATAAAATGTTGATAGTTAAAGGTTCCAAACTGGGCTTCACCCGAGGGCCTGCCCGCCCCGCTTGCCAACAAGTTTTTATAATGAAATTAAAATTCCACTATTATTCTTTCCTAATTAAATTTATAAATTTGATTTCAAATTTTGTAAATACAAATTTGCAAAATTTCAAATACTAACGTCACAAATCCTTGCAAAAAAAATATTATTTCTTATTATTTTATAAATCTAATTGTAATAAATAAAATTCATCTCTGAGATACAATATAAAAACCTAGACGCAACTATAAGAGCTTTTTTCGTGAATAAATATAAAAATCTATTACATGCTGATAGATAGATGTGGCAAATTGAGCCTTGACCCGGAAGACCGGTGTGACACGTGTCAACACCTGACACGTCACCAATCACGTCTAAATTAGGTTTTCAATCAAGAGGCAATCACGCCTAATTTAGGTAAAATTGTTTTTGAAAAACATTCATAAGCCATCATTAATTTCTGACCACGAATAATAACCCAGAAGCTTATAGCATTAATCATTAATTTCAAGAATAATATCCTTTTTCTTAGATATTTAGAATATTTATTTAATTATTTTCTTTTTTTCTACAGATTTTCAAATTGATTTTTTAGTTTAAATCACAAATCAAATCTTTATATTGTTTTCCTTATTAGTAATAATTTTTATTTTTAATTTTAATTTAAATCACAATCCAAATTTTTGTTATAATAAAATAAGTATTATAAAAAAATTAAATCACAAATCAAAATTTTATTTATTTATTTATCTTAAATCACAAACCTAGAACTCACAGGCTTCTTGGTTTAACCGCTCTTATAATACCATTCTTGCAAATTAAATTTTTTTATGAGAAATAAAATATATCAAATGAGATGTCATTGCGTAGATCTCGAAAAGTTATATGGAATCACAAAAAGAATTACCTAAATTGGATACTGAAGTCAAAAGTTATGACCTTCAGAAATTTTATGATTAAATTATTATTTTTTTGGAAAAAAAAGACACGTGTCATGGGGCGTCTCTCCTCAGATGAGAGACGCCTAAATGAGGCGTCACATGTGACGCTAAAAAAAAGCGTCACATTGTGCAATAGATCCTTAATTATTTTTAAAATTGCAATAAATGCGTAATTATTTAATTAAAATGCAATAATTAAATTTTTTTGCCAGTTATGGCCTTCAGAAGTTTTATGATTAAATTACTATTTTTTATTAGAAAAAAATGACACGTGTGAACCTTAAGTGAGAGACGCCTAAATGAGGCGTCACATGTGACCCCCAAAAAAGGCGTCACAATTTGCAATAGATCCGTAATTATTTCCAAAACTGCAATAAATGCGTAATTATTTAATTAAAATGCAATAATTAAAATTTTTTTCCGGCCATAACTTTTGACTCGAGTATCCAATTCAGGTAATTCTTTTTTTGATTCCACATAACTTTTCGAGATCTACGCAATGACATCTCATGTGATATATTTTATCTCTCACAAACATAATTTAAATTTAAATTAGGTAATCCTTCTTCCTTAGAGATTTAGAATATTTATTTAATTATTTCCTTTATTAATACAGATTTTTCAAATTGGTTTTTGAGTTTAAATCACAAATCAAATCTTTATTTTGTTTTCCTTATTAATAATAATTGTTACTTTTAATTTAAATCACAAACCAAATTTTTTTATAATAAAAAAAAATTATTTTTTAAATTAAATCACACATCAAATCTTTATTTATTTTTTATATTAAATAACAAACGCAGAACTCAGAGGATTCTGAGTTTAAAAATTTGACACGTGTCAACACCTGACACGTCACCAATCACGTCTAAATTGGGTTTCAATCAAGAGGCAATCACGCCTAATTTAGGTAATTTTATTTTTGAAAAACATTCATAAGCCATCATTAATTTCAGACCACGAATAATAACGCAGAAGATTATAGCATTAATCATTAATTTCAAAAATAATATCCTTTTTCCTTAGATATTTAGAATATTTATTTAATTATTTTCTTTATTTCTACAGATTTTTCAAATTGATTTTTTAGTTTAAATCACAAATCAAATCTTTATTTTGTTTTCCTTATTAAAAATAATTTTTATTTTTAATTTTAATTTAAATCATAAACCAAATTTTTTTATAATAAAAAAAGTATTATAAAAAAAAATTAAATCACAAATCAAAATTTTATTTATTTCTTTATATTAAATCACAAACCCAGAACTCAGAGTCTTCTTGGTTTAACCGCTCTTATAATACCATTCTTGCAAATTAAAATTGTGTTTATGAGAAATAAAATATATCAAATGAGATGTCATTGCGTAGATCTTGAAAAGTTATGTGGAATCAAAAAAACAATTACCTAAATTGGATACCCGAGTCAAAAGTTATGTCCTTCAGAAGTTTTATGATTAAAATATTATTTTTATAAAAATAAAATGACACGTGTCAACCTTTGGTGAGAGACGCCCAGGGGAGACGCCTAAATGAGCCGTCACATGTGACGCCCAAAAAAAGCGTCACATTGTGCAATAGATCCGTAATTATTTCTAAAATTACAATAAATGCGTAATTATTTAATTAAAATGCAATACTTAAATTTTTTTGCCTGTATTGTTTTGACAACAAAAATTCTCCTATAATCGTTCATAAACATAATCAATAACACACGTACACAAAAAAAATAAAAAAAATTGAACTAACAAAAATATTATGCTAATAATAATAATATTGGAAATGGAAGAATACTTATAACATTATTTACGTTGATATTCTCCTAAAAATATTTATTTACGTTGATATTTAAACATCGTTGATATTGAAAATCGTTGATACTAAAATAATAATTGAACATCGTTCATAAACATATTCTCCTAAAAATATTAATTTACGTTGATATTTAATTATTAAACTAACAAAAATTGTAGGCAACTTTCACTTTTCTTTCCCTAAACAGTTGTTATGCCACCTCACTTAAACATTTATTCTGTTTATATATTAATAAATTTAAATTGTTAACATTAGGTAATAATAATAATATTGGAAATGGAAGAATACTTATAATTCACTAGTAAAATTGAATTCTTTTTTTGAAAATTTAAAGAATAAAAGGAATTTTTTAAAAAATTAAAAATAAGTCATGGTGTCCTAAGATTAAACACCTATTATTTTTAGTTGCATTGTTTTGACAACAAAAATTCTCCTATAATCGTTCATAAACATAATCAATAACACACGTACACACAAAAAATAAAAAATTGTGTATGCTGTCATAAAAAATCCCAAGTTTAAGATAATTCACGTGATAAATCGGATCAACAATTACTAAAATCATTCAATTAAAGTGTACTTTTGTTCTTTTCATGTAATTTCAAATGATATATTCTATCAACATTTATAAAATCATTCAAATAATAATGTTATGTTTTTCAAATAATTTTAGAAATATAAACAGTTAACAAAAACATTATATTCTTTTATGCCGTTTCTCAATGCTAGATGTTTTATAAAAACATAAGCTCAGCTTGTTTTTATTTATGTTATCTTTTCTCTTAAATAAATAAATATTTAAATAATAGAAAAATAATAATAGAATTTGAAAGAAAAGCTGGAATTTGGTAATAATCCATGTTATTTAGGGTGTGCATGACAACCTTCCCGGAATCAATTTCTTTTTAATTTCTGTTCCCGGGAACAAAAATGGATAGGAAATTTGTTTGGTAAAATCGGTTTATTTTTTTGTTCCCGGGATGAACCAATTTAATTTTGGTGTCGGGGAACAGAAAAAAGAATAAAAAAATTTCTGCCTTTTATAATACAAAAAAAAAATCTGATTTTTTGTTCCCTGGTACAAAATGAGAAACACTTGTCTATCTCAATTACTCTCCACCACCACCATTATCTCGACATGACCACCACTACCATTGTCGTCGTTGACGTCATACCACCAATGTCGTTGTCACCACCACTAGGATTCCACCGCCACCACCACCACCACCTCCACTCATCGCCACATCACCACCACCATATCACCACAACCACTACCATGCCACCACCATCGCCACCACTACCACTACCACCACCCCCACTATTGTTGCAGCCAATGTCGTCACCATCACCACCATGCCACCGCCACCATCGTCGCAGCCACAGTCGTCACCACCGGCGCCTTCGCCACCAACTACCACCATCGTCGTCGTAGTCACCGCCACCGCCACCACCACCATGTCATTACCGCCGCCGCCACCACCATCACCGCAACCACCGCCGTCACCACCATCGTCGTTGCAGTCATTGCTGTCTCCAGCACCACCATGTCATTACCACCACCGTCACCGTCGACACCACCATTGTCGTAGCCACTGTCGTCACCACTACCACCATGCCACCGCCACGCCTCCAACAATCGCCACTGCCGTCACCACCGCCACCATCACCACCAACTACCCACACCGTCGTCACAGCCACTGTAGTCTCCACTACCACTGTCGCCGTCGCCGCCATCACCACTACTGCCATCGTCCCCGCCACTATTACCACCACCACACCATATGGAAAAGAAAGTGTAATATGAAAAAAACTTATGCTTAACAGAATTATAATTTTTTATATTATTTGTTATGTTATCAAACGCAATTCTCATTCTCGGAATAAAAATAGAACATGTTATCAAACACATTTTTTTTCTCAGAAACTGTTCCAAGCCACTAAAATAGAAAAGAATTGTTTCTTTTCAGAAACAGTGCCAGGGAACAGAATAGTTGTCATGCACACCCTTAGTCTTAAGTTAAGTGCACTAAATTCATTCAATTACTTCTCAGTAATTTTACTCTCAAAGGAATCATACAAATATAGTCAAAAGATATTACACTCTATGCTAAATAAATTATCTAAGACAAAAAAGCTAATAGCTTTGACAGATTTTCCATGAGTGACTAAATCCAGGTTTCTATTCTAACCTGTGAAAATTACTTTCTCAAGTAACACAAGACACATCAAAAAGTTACATGCACTCCAAAATGCAAAACATATACCAGTAGTGTAACTCTTGTTACAAAAATATACATGATTCAGCTTTTGGAATAAATGACAACACACTTTAGCCAAATAATTCAAACAGTGATTATTAAAATGCAGTATCACTCGTTGTATTCAAAAATCAAGCTTCCCTTATTATAGACGCAGGGTTACATTTCTCAGTTACATTGGGCCATTAAAATAATAATGCTAATATATAATTGTCAACCTAATGATATCTAACAGTTACATAATTTAATAATATATACATCAAATAAAACAAACGATGAATTTCAAACGGTTATGAATTTCAAATCGCATGGTAGCGAAACAATCCCCTCCCATTAGAGTACGAAGGGACGAAATGCTCAACTTGCTGAGAAGAAAATAAAAATCCTTACACCCTAATGCCTTGATGAATATGTTCACCAGCTGCATAGTTGATCAAATGTATGCGGTAGATATTGTTTTGGCCAAGAGGTGCTCATGGACAAAATGGCAATCGAGTTCAATATGTTTTATGAATTCGTAGAAGACAGGGTTGACGGATTGATAGCAATATGTAATGCTACTTGATTATCACAAAATAATTGCATAAGTGCATGGTGGTGTATCCCAAGAAACGCAAGAAAGGACTTCAGCAATAAGAGCTCAGAAGTAATGGCTGTCATGGAGCGATATTCAACATCAACATAAAAGCGAGAAAATGTTGCCTACTTTTTTAGTCTTCTAGGAGACAAGAGATTAACCAAGCATGACAAAATATCCTATAAGCGATAGCTGCGTAAGTGGGCAGCTGGTCTAGTCCAGTCACAATAGGCACACAACTGTATGTTCTTTTCAAATGGGAACAAGATACCTTGGCTTGAATTAGACTTTATATAACGCAAAATGTGCATGACTGCATTAGTTGTTTAGGATCCTACATAAATTAAAATAAAGTATGAGCTGCATAGCACAACTTAGGTTGCATAATTGAGAGATATACCAAGCGACGATAACACGCCAGATTTTCCAAATCACTCCATTAGCTACATCCAACTAACGTAATTATGTTCTTAGTTTAGTTCTTAACTTTTGCTCTTTGTAAAATTCTGGGGTGTTTAGCTTTCTCTTCCATATTCATCCATACCTTTACCTCAGCCCCATTACAACCCTGCATAAAGCCCTCTTGATTTGTGCATGCATGTGTTATGAGCAGTGGAGAAGTAGAACTTGAGCAAGCCTATGGTAGGATGATTTTCTTGAGTTGATTTGAGTGATATACTGAATTAACTGATACACTTGAGAGAAAAATTGAGAGCATCTTGTGAGGAACCATTTTTTATGCAGTTAGCAGTTGCAGTTGAAGTTAGCAGGTCTTGTGATTTGAGATTAGGGAATTTCTGTCCTGATTGATTTATCTGTAGAAGACTTGTGATCTTTGTATATTTTCTGTATGCTTGGTAATTGTTAGAAAGGATTGGTTGATCTTAGTATTTACTTTCAATTTTAGTTTTTGCCCAGGAGTGCAAAAAGATAAGTGTGGGGGAATTTGATAACACATATTTTGTTACACTTATTTGTTACTCTTGATTAGTATTTTTAGAATTTATTTGAATAAAATAATGATTGTTAGAGTTAATTTAGGTTTTTAGTTTTTAATTGGGTTTAATTTATTTTCGTCAGAATTTTTCAGCTTTACGTTACTTCTGTATTTTGGCCATATCTCGGTCCATAGTTGTCGGATTGACTCCGTTCTTGTTGGGTTTTTCAGATAACACAGAGAGCTACAATTCTTATGCAGAGCTCTAAGCCCAATTCGGACTAGAAGCTGGTCTATTTCGGACACCAAGTTGGACGCGTTTTGCTGAAGTTTTGTTTGACTATTGGGCTTGTAATTTAAATTAAAACCCAATTACTTAAGTGGCCCAAAGCCAAGTTTTATTGTTTCATTTTATTTTATTCGGTTTTTTTATTTTATGTTTGGGCTGAAGCAATGAAACCCTAGCCGTCCTGCGTGACGGCTATTTAAAGGGGACTCTAGGAAACCCTTGGGAGTCAGTTTTTACAACAGAGAAGTTCTCTCTGAGTTTTTATTCAATTGCGTTCTTCATCTTTTTTCTTCTTCTTCTTCTTTTCATTTCAATTATGTTTACCTTAGCCATGCGAGGCTAAGAACCTTTTAATCAACCTAAGGGTAATGGATTCCATGGATTGGTCTTGAGGATCTGCGTTTATTTCAAATCAGTTTTGTTTCCCTTCCCAACTCAGATTGATATCGTGCGATCGTGGATATTCAATCTGAGGTTCGCGATTGCGATTATGGAAAGGGATTAATCATCAGATTTGATGATTAGGTTGATTGACCCTATGACCTTAAATCAAGCGGGCTGATACTCTGCGATTGTATGAGTAGAAGCATCGTCTTTGATCAAATGCTAAGCGATCGCTTAGAGAGGGTTGTCAATTGGAAATAAGGATTCTGATCCGATTGACAAATCAATCACGATTCTGATATCTTCTTATCCGAGGAAAGACGTCCATGGAACCCAAACCTTAGGTTGGTTATTTTTAATTACGAATTTTTATTCCAAATTTATATTCTGCCTCTTTAATTATTGAATCAAAATCTAAAACCCCCCTTTTAATTTTCTGTTCTCATAAGCGATTTTAACCAAAACAATTTCCTTGAGAGACGACTTAGGGTTTCCACTTTACTGCAAATTTTCTGAACCCTAATTAAAAAAATAATTTTTAATTTGCGCGAGTTCGACAGCTCGTGTCACCAAGCAAAACAAGCCCAAGTGAGGGCTGATAGAGCTTCCTTTCAAATGTATGATGGAGAAAGTCTGTATGAAGCGTGGGAACGCTTTAAAGAGTTGATACGAATTTGCCCGAATCATGGAGTTTCTGATTGGGGCATCATTCACACGTTTTATCATGGCTTAACCCCACCATTGAAAGCAACTGTTGATGCAGCTGCATGGGGAGATCTTTTGGATTTTACTTATCCAGAAACCTACCAGTTGTTGGAAAAACTTTCAAAAAAAACATATTTCATGGCCTTCCACACAACACAGTGCTCCTAAGAAAGCAGGAGTTCTTGAGCTAAGCTCAGCTGATGCTCTTTCAGCACAAATGGCTTCGCTCCAGAACACTATAAAAAACTGGAAGCCCATGGAACAGAAAAAACCAACTGAGCAACTTCTCTTGACTCAATCAAGTCAGAGTTGCCCCACTTGTGGAGGTCCTCATGAATATGAGGACTGTAACAATTTAGCTGCTGTGTGCTATGCAGGAGGGCATGACAACAACAACAGGAGCAATGACAACTATCAAGGGAACAATAACCGAGGCTGGAGGAATCAGAATAATGCTGGAGGTAGTGGAGGAAACTACCAGAACCGGCCCCCGTATCCCAGGCAGAACCAACAAAACTGGGATAAGGGTGAAGGGAAGTCCCAATCCTTTGAGACTTCTGTCAAGGAGTACATGAATCAGAACAGCGCAGCCATGCGAAACCTAGAAACCCAAATTGGTCAGCTGGCTGGAGCACTCAAACAGAGGCAACCAGGGACACTCCCTAGTGACACAGAAAAGCCGTCTCAGGATAACCAGGAGCATTGTAATGCTATAAGCCTACGAGATGGAAAGACTTTACCACCCCCAGATTTAGTGGCACGACCTCGAAAGCGCGAACCAGCAAAACAGCCCATAGGAAAGGAAGTTGAAGAAGCCACTGACCCTTCACACCTTGAAGCTCAGACAGGACCAGAAGAGAAGGTCCAGAGCAATGAGTCTGCTGAAATCAAACCGGATGACGCAACACCTGTAGCAGACCTTGGAGCAACAAAAGTCAGTGAACCAGTTTCAGTTCCAACTTATGTTCCCCCATGCAAGAGAAGGAGTGAACCGATTGAGCCTCATTTTCCACAGAGGTTGAAAAAACAACACGAGGATAAGCAGTTTAGCCAGTTTCTTGACTTGATGAAACAACTTCACTTAACATTCCTCTAGTAGAAGCTCTGGAGCAAATGCCTTCGTATGCAAAATTTATGAAGGACATTTTGTCAAAAAGAAGAAAGATCGAAGAGTTTGAGACCGTAGCCCTCACTCAACAATCGTGCAAGTACCTGACTAAAATTCCTCCCAAACTAAAGGATCCTGTTATATTCACCATCCCGTGTACAGTTGGGAAGAACTATCTTGGTCGGGCAATTTGTGATCTGGGCTCAAGTGTAAATCTAATGTCAGCTTCCATCTTCAAGCAGCTTGACATAGGAGCAGCAAGACCAACCACAGTCACTCTTCAACTTGCAGACCGATCTATAGCCAAGCCAGAAGGAAAAATTGAGAATGTCTTTGTCCAAGTAGACAAGTTCATTCTACCAGCTGACTACATCATCTTAGATTTTGAAGCAGATCAAGAAGTTCTAATAATTCTGGGCGGACCATTCCTGGCTACCGGTGATGCTATCATAAATGTCAGAAAGGGTGAACTTTCTATGAGTGTAAACAGAGAAGAAATGAAGTTTAATGTCATGAAAGAAATAAAGTTTGATGAAGATAACACTGAGGAATGCTCTAGCATTTCGATCCTTGACTCGGTCATAAGAGAAGAACAGCAGGAGCATTTGCAGCCAGAGATAGGCATGAAGGACTTTGAAAAGCTGGAAGAATACCTTGCATCCATCAGTTTCCACCAACCCCAGGGAAGGAAAGAAAGGGTCTTTGAATCCTTAAACCGATCAGAGCAGGAGCAAAGACCGAAATTGCCTTCAGTAGAGCAACCACCTACCTTGGAGTTAAAACCCTTACCTGAACACCTGAAATACACTTATTTGGGTAAAGACAACACTCTCCCTGTGATTACTTCTTCTTTGCTAACCCATGAACAGGAACTTCAACTCACACAAAAGCTCAAAGATTACAAAGGAGCAATCGGCTGGATCATGGCTGACATGAAAGGAATTAGCCCAACAATTTGCATGCACAAGATTTTGCTCCAAGACCCTGACAGCTCATCTATGGAGCATCAAAGGAGGCTGAATCCCAATATGAAGGAGGTGGTAAGAAAAGAAATCATCAAATGGCTTGATGCAGGTATAATCTATCCCATCTCAGATAGTAAATGGGTTGCTCCTGTGCAATGCGTTCCAAAAAAGGGTGGCATTACTGTAGTTGAAAATGACAAACAAGAGTTAATAGCCACCAAAAAAATAACTGGGTGGAGGATTTGTCAAGACTACAGGAAATTAAATAATGCTACCTGAAAGCATCATTTCCCCCTTCCTTTTATTGACCAAATGCTGGATCATCTAGCTGGGAAAGAATTCTTTTGTTTCTTATATGGGTATTCGGGATACAACCAAATCCCGGTTGCTCCTGAAGACCAACACAAAACCACTTTTACGTGCCCCTTTGGGACGTTTGCATTCAGAAGAATGCTTTTTGGGCTATGTAATGCCCCTGCAACTTTTCAAAGATGCATGTTTGCTTTGTTTACTGATTTGGTAGGAGAAGCAGTAGAAATTTTCATGGATGATTTTTCTGTCATTGGTTGCTCTTTTCCTACTTGCCTTAATAACCTTGAACAGGTATTGAAAAGATGTGTCAAGAGCAATTTAGTGCTGAATTAGGAAAAATGCCACTTCATGGTAAGAGAAGGCATTGTGCTAGGACACAAAATCTCAAGCAAGGGCCTCGAGGTGGACAAGGCTAAGGTGGAAGCAATTGAGAAGCTACCTCCCCCTACCACAATAAAAGGGATCAGAAGCTTTTTGGGACATGCTGGGTTCTACAGATGTTTCATTAAAGACTTCTCCAAAATTGCCAAACCACTTTGTGAACTTCTGGAGCAAGACAGGAAGTTCAATTTTGATGAAAAATGTTTGACAGCCTTCCTGGAGCTCAAGACGAGGCTGGTGTCCGCACCCATCATTCAAAGCCCAGATTGGAGTCTTCCTTTTGAACTAATGTGTGACGCCAGCGATTTCGGCTTGGGAGCAGTTCTTGGGCAGCGAAATGACAAAGTCTTCAGAACTGTTTACTACGCTAGTAGAACTCTTACTCCGGCACAAGCCAACTACACAGTGACAGAGAAGGAGATGCTGGCAGTTGTATTTGCATGTGACAAGTTTCATTCATATCTAATATGCTCCAAAGTCACAGTATTCACTGATCATTCAGCAATCAAGAAACTCTTTGCTAAGAAGGATGCCAAGCCAAGACTAATTAGATGGGTACTGTTGCTCCAAAAATTTGACCTTGAGATCAAGGACCGGAGAGGAAGTGATAACAAGGTGGCTGACCACCTATCTCGATTAGAGAGGGCAAGCCCACAAGAAGGAGATCATATCAAGGAGACATTCCCTGATGAGCAGCTTCTGATGATCTCTGAAAAACAAGCTCCTTGGTTTGCAGATATTGCAAACTACCTGGCTGCCGGAATAGAGCCATACCACTTGAATCACCAAGGGAGAAAGAGGTTCCATCATGAAGCTAAGCAGTATTTCTGGGACGACCCTTTGCTCTACAAAAGGTGTTCTGACCAATTACTTCGAAGGTGTATCCCTGAAGGAGAACAACAGAAAATACTGGAGCAATGCCACAACTCCCCTTATGGAGGACACTTTGCTGGAGCAAGAACAACAGCTAAAGTGCTGCAGTCAGGTCTATATTGGCCCTCCTTGTTTAAAGATGCTAATGTTTTTGTTAGAAAATGTGACAGGTGCTAGAGAACAGGGAACATTACAAGAAAGCATGAAATGCCCCTTGTTCCAATAATGGAGGTTGAATTGTTCGATGTATGGGGCATTGATTTCGTGGGGCCTTTCCCACTTTCCTTTGGAAACAAGTACATACTTGTTGCAGTTGACTATGTGTCGAAATGGGTAGAAGTTGTTGCTACCCCCACCAATGATGCCAGGATAGTGTTGAAGTTCATCAAGAAGAATATTTTCACTCGAATTGGAACCCCTAGAGCAATTATCAGCGACGGGGGTACACATTTCGTGAACAAACAATTCCAATTACTCCTGAAGAAATATGGAGTGCAGCACAAAATTGCCACCCCTTACCACCCACAGACTAGCGGGCAGGTAGAGATGTCCAACAGGGAGATAAAAAAAATCCTGGAAAAGGTCGTAAACCCAGATAGAAAAGATTGGTCCAACAAATTGGATGATTCCCTATGGGCGTATCGAACAGCTTATCGAATGCCCATTGGCTGCTCCCCCTATAAGTTGGTGTTTGGAAAAGCGTGTCACTTGCCTCTGGAACTTCAACACAAAGCATTCTGGGCCATCACATTGCTAAACATGGATTCCAGAATGGCTGGGGAAAAGAGGTTGCTCCAGTTGGTTGAACTGGAAGAATTATGGAGCAAGGCATATGAAAACGCCAACCTCTACAAGGAGCAGATGAAAAAGTGGCACGATAAAAAGCTTATCAAGAGAGAGTTAGAAGTTGGAGACAAAGTGCTGCTGTATCGATCCAGATTGAAACTGTTTCCTGGAAAGTTGAAATCAAGATGGGAGGGACCTTATGCAATCACTGAAGCACTTCCCAATGGAGCATTTACCATTGCTCATGAAACATCTGGAGCAACGCTCAGGGTAAATGGACACAGACTCAGCAACATGAGTTTCTTCATAAATCTTCCTCTTCTTGGTTAAAGAAACAGAGACCTCATCAGTGTCGTATGCAGTTGCTGACATTTCTTTCATGTTTTTGTGAATTGGGTTTTGGTTTCTTGAAAGCTATGAGGTTTTTCTGTTTTCCTGTTACGGGTCAATATATATAGAAGTTGCCTTTTATGCCAGCCCACTTCACTTTAAATGTTTATTCTGCTATATAATTTTAACATCTTTTTATTTTATTTTAATTTTTATCTATACAGATATAATTTATATCTTAGATAATTCTTATTCAAAATATAGGAAAAATAAAAAATTTAATTGTAGGACTTGAGCATTTGTAGTTTTGTGAAGATATCAAAACGTAAAAAAAATATTGACTGATTATAAAAATATTAATTCACGTTGATATTTAATTATTAAACTAACAAAAATTGTAGGCAACTTTCACTTTTTTCCCCTAAATAGTTATTATGCCACCTCACTTAAACATTTATTCTGGTTATATATTAATAAATTTAAATTGTTAACATTAGCTAATAATAATAATATTGGAAATGGAAGAATACTTATAATTCACAAGTAAAACTGAATTTTTTTTTTTTGAAAATTTGAAGAATAAAAGGAATTTTTAAAAAAATTAAAGAGATGTGTTGAAAATAAGTCATGGTGTCCTAAGATTAAACACCTATTATTTTTAGTTGCATTGTTTGGAAAAAAAATTTAATTATTGCATTTTAATTAAATAATTACGCATTTATTGCAGTTTTGGAAATAATTACGAATCTATTGCACAATGTGACGCCTTTTTTGGGCGTCACTCTCACCTAAGGTTGACACGTGTCATTTTTTTAAAAAAAAATAATAATAATTTAATCATAAAACTTCTGAAGGCCATACCTTTTGACTCGAGTATCCAATTTAGGTAATTCTTTTTTTGATTCCACACAACTTTTCGAGATCTACGCAATGACATCTCGTTTGATATATTTTATTTCTCACAAACGTAATTTAAATTTAAATTAGGTAATCCTTCTTCCTTAGAGATTTAGAATATTTATTTAGTTATTTCCTTTATTAATACAGATTTTTCAAATTGATGATTGAGTTTAAATCACAAATCAAATCTTTATTTTGTTTTCCATATTAATAATAATTGTTACTTTTAATTTAAATCACAAACCAAATTTTTTTATAATAAAAATAAAAAAATTATTTTTTTAAATTAAATCACACATCAAATCTTGATTTATTTAGTCAACACCTGACACGTCACCAATCACGTCTAAATTAGGTTTCAATCAAGAGGCAATCACGCCTAATTTAGGTAATTTTTTTTTTTTAAAAACATTCATAAGCCATCATTAATTTCAGACCACG